TGTGCCCGCCTCGCTGCGTCTCTGGTGATGCTGTTCTTTCGGGCACTGCAAATAACTGTGGTGGCTTCTTCCAGAGTGGTTGTACAAATGCATCGTGCAGCGCCTGGTGGTGGTCATCTCCAGCATCGAGAACAACGAGGTTCTGGAGCGGTGGCAGTTTGACATCGAGTGTGACAAAACTGTGAAGGATGAGAGGTAACAGTGCTCCTCTATGCCTGCTCTTTCCTATACCTAGCAGCTGTGCAGGCACAAAATGATCCCTGTTTGCATCAGCGCTGTCCTGGCTCCTCAGAGCAGCTGAGATCACATTTTTCTTAGAATTAGTTAGGAAGATGGTCCTTCAAACCTTGTCAAACCTACCATCTTTCTCACTGTTATTCCTTGTTGGTCTGTAAACCAACAGACCTTGTTGGTCTGTTATTATATAACTGGTATGATTCTCCCACTTTTTTTTAAAGTATAAGATGAAAACTTGATTTTTAATCTTCAACAAAGTATATAAAATTCTGTATCAGGTACATACCCTGCTTTCCTGCTGTTTGTTATGCCAAGATGTTCTCATCCATTTTGAATTGAGAATAAAAGTAACACTCCTTAGACATACTACAAGTTTCATAAACAACAGTAAAGGGAAATTATTCCTTCTGTATGCCTATCCACCTAAACAGTGTTGCTACTATACAAATTCCTATAGCCAACAGAGCTTAAGAGAGAGAACTGTATTTAAAGAAAACTGTTGGTAGAGTAGAAGCTTGCTTGCTTACCAGAGTGTTCCGATTTTTCCAGTGCACCACGAGAAAAATCTCAGAAAGCTATTCAGGATGAAATTCGATCTGTTATCAGACAAATAACTGCCACAGTAACTTTTCTGCCACTGCTGGAAACTGCCTGTGAGTATTCGTAACTACCCTCATGAGATCCAACGGTTGTTTTGAAAAACACCAGTAATTTTTTTTCCACTTAAAAAATACTTTCTGCTAATTTTCAGAGACTTGTTAAATTATTGCGTGTCATATGCCATCTTTCTGAGAGAGCACTTTGTTAAGACTGAAATCAGGAGAGAACTCGGGGTGGCCTAACTTAATGAAACTTCTCAGTGTACTCTGAGGAATTTAAGTTTCCTTAAATAATAAATTATATTGTGACTAACTATGGACAGACTTGTACAAATAACCACTGAGTTTATAGTTAAGAAGTACACAGAGCCCCGGTCCATAGTGTTTTAATATGTATAAAAAAAATTTGTATCCTACTTGCCTGAGAAAGCTAAAAAAGGTTTTGCATGAATATAACCAGGACCTATGTTCATATTTTAACTACTGTTTCTTCTCACATAATTAGTATCACTGATTTCTGAAAACCTTGGTACAATCTCAGGTTGTATAAGATGTGCTTTAATTTCTAATATGCCGTCTTACGTACGCCTTACTGTTTCCTCTTTGCTGACAGGTGCCTTTGACTTGCTGATCTACACAGATAAAGATTTAGCAGTGCCAGAGAAGTGGGAAGAATCAGGACCACAATTCATAGCCAATTCTGAAGAGGTTCGTCTCCGTTCCTTCACTACTACGATCCACAAAGTGAACACTATGGTGGCTTACAAAAAGGATTCCTTCCCCTAAGACATGGCGGGGGGTTGTATATATCCTGTCATCTTCTATAGTTTCTGTTCCTAGCACAGCTGTCACGAACACATCGCTTCTGTTGCTCCTCCTGAAGTATGATACAGAAAAAAGGTGTTTGCTCTGCTAATGTGATAGAACACTAGATTATGCTGACACTGTTTTTAAAGAGGTCTGCATAAGGTGTTCATGATAATAGCTCAGTTCTTTCTTAACTGTATGAACTAAAGTAATGGTGTGATAAACTGCTGCTTTCATTAGAAAAACTGCCTAAGTCTATGAGTAAGTGCTAGAGTTGTCTTCAGATCCTGTAATTTAGTAGTTTAAGATTATTAGAAACTGCAGGCTTAAGTTCTCTGGCACAAAAAAACCCTCCTGACATGCCCGTTCTTCATGTTGAAACCTGGTGTGGTTTATTACCAGAAACAATTCTAAAATCAACCATTTGTACCTCTTTGCAAGGAAAGCAGCTGTTTTTCAGGAAATCCTTCCATTTACAAAGCCTTGTACATCGACTGCTGGACTCTAGATCTGGGGTTGTGTTCTAAGCTGGTGTACGTCTCTAGTGTCTGTCAAGCATTTTCTATGTTTGTACTTGTTTTATCAAATAACGTTTGAAATTGTACAATATTCTCATGTTTTAGATGGTTTTATGAATGCTACGTTTTAGTTTGTAACTGTCATAGAGCTAAAAGTTATCCTATTTGTATTATTACTTTGTTTCCTCTGAGTCTCAAAGCAAATGTTCTGGACTCTATGAAATCCATTCATGGATTAAGAATTTGTCCCCACTTAAGCCTTCAAATAAAGTATAAATTGTCACAGTGACTTTAGGATTAAGCACAGTGCCTTCCATGTTTGTTAAATAGCATAGAAAATCTTGCTGCATTCACACATTTTTTACTGGAAGACAGAGTTTCAACCTCTTTAAGTGTTGATACAACTTTAGTGCTCTTGCATGTTTTTGTTCATTTTCTTCACCAAATTCACTTCAACTTCTCCCGCTCTTCTAGAGTGATATATGAATCTTCTGTTAAAACAGTGTAATTTAAAAAGTTTATTTAAAAAACAGTTATTACATGTACTCCACCACTGTATTAAAGATTCTGGTCTTTTCTAACTAGGAAATAGTTCTCTCCAGCAGTCCCAAACTTGCAGAACTGAAAAGGCAGCCTTCTGTAAATGAGTAGAACGAAATCATGGCTTTTAAAAATAGGTTCAACCTTGGTACTTCAGCAGAATGCTACATTACTCATGATGAGGGCTTGCACTGCAGTAACAGAGGAGTACCTAGTGTTTTCTTTTGCCCATTCTTTATACAGGTGATAGAACTACCCCTTTACACCGAGGAGGTGTGCTTAAACAAGTGGCACTTGCAGCACGTTCCCTGGGGAAGACGGGATCACAACAGGGCGTGCAAGTCACCTGTAACAGGAATCTGTAGCAGGGACAGACACCTCCTGCTTCATACCGAAGATGAGATCCGGAGGTGACTGCTACAGAGGCATCAATAAGGAATATAAAACACTTATTTTACAGAGATGTAGAAGTCAGATTGCTACCTGAAGTTCAAGTGATTTCTTTCTTGTACCAAATATAATTTATCTTCCTTATGAAGGACCAGCCCCAAGTCCAGCATCATCTGTAGATTTTTTTCTTTTTTTTTATAGAGGCACCAAGAGTCAAAAGGTATAGTATAGAAATAACGTCCATGAAAACTGGATGTGAAAAGGAACTGGTGACAAATCCTGAAGTTCTCACAAGGATCCTGCAGAACAGGAAAAAAAATAGTACAGTCACATAAATGCCATTTCCCAGGAACCAAGCCTTTATGGAAGTGTCCAGCAGGATTGGCCGATACCTAACAGCACTCACACCTTTCATTAGTTTCCCCCCACCCTGCGTGTCACTGCTGTAGAGAACAATCAAAACCAAAGGAGGTCCCTCATCTCCAACAGCCGTATTTCTTAGGGAACTACACAGAAAATAAGATTTATAAACTGCTTAACAGGCATTCCTCACCTCACTAGTTCAGCTGACGTATAAGCTGGTTGATGGCTTCACCTCTGTGGCCAGGCTGACCCATTTCTTTGAGGAAACCCACTTTGTTACGTGAAGCGTAGCGAGCCACTGACAGGTGGAATGGCCATAGGAAGTTTGTGACTTTTTTGAAATACTTCCCAGCTGAGTATATTTCATGAATAAGGTCTTCTAGGCAAATAATACCAAAGCTCCCTGCAGAATAAAAAAAAAATAAATAAAAACCAACAGAACAACAAAAAGCTCCCCACAAACATGAGCTGCCAAACTGCATTCTTTTTCTTCACACGACTCCAGAATTGCCAGTCCTCTATCTACACATCATGTAAGATTCTTCTCCGTCCCCTCCCTCTCAGTCAGATAGCAAACTCTCAGCATCCACCTCTTTCACTGATTAACTTCATTTCCTGACCCTCTTCCTCACCTAAATGTTCCTCTATCAACATATTGTCTGTCAGAGGCATCCTCTTTCTGTTAATCTTGGCTTGGCCCCGTTTCATGATGAGCTCTCGTACAGATTTCAGGTTGGGGTATCTGCAAAAACAAAAATCAGGTTCTGTAACAGAGATGATACCACGGGAAGTCCCACCCTACTTCTTTGTAGAGAGGTGGGAAATCATGACATGTTTACAACAATGACAAAAGGGACAACATCAAAATTTAGATATAAAGCTGTCAAAGTTTTGACCGTTACTGGAAGACCCAGCTATATTTACATACAAACTGCTGTCAAATCACAGGACTTGGTACTCACCCCCACGCCACGTAAGGTTCCACAATCCGCAGCATCTTCAGCGATAGCGGGGTCAGTTTAACAAACATTCCAGTGTAATTTTTTCTCAGCCGCAGCAACTCAATCACTCTTCTTACTCTTTTACTCACTCCCTTAATACTGAATTAGAAGAAAAATACTATTACTAACCATGTTTTTCTAATATAGCAACAAAAGGCCTCAGACGACCTGCAAGGTAGACATGTCTGGGTTGATCATCCTTCCTTGGCTTAGAAATGACAGCTACAAAGAGCAGCAATAATAAAGGTAAGGAGTAACAGAAGTTTCTTACTCTGCAATCCGCACAACAAAGGCCAGTTTCTGTTCCTGCGGTGGCTCGGTCTGTCCAGGTTTCTGCCCCATGCGCCTCAGGCGGGTGTTGTCTCGGTTTTTGCGCCATGAATCTCGAACAAAAGACTCAAGGCGTTTAAACTGGATTTGTTTCCCTTTCTGTTGCTAAAGATAAAAGGATATGCAATTATCATCTTTCCTAGTGATCCTGGAGCTGTGCATCTCAAAGGCAAAGTAAAATCTGAACCTGATGAACTATGCTCTTATGGTTTTGGAGGCTGTTAAGGAGAAAATAAATTTGATAATCTAAGCCCAAAGGAGACAGAACTGAGGGACAACACATGAATTTACAAGTAGCTAACCATAATTTATGAAAAACAAACAAACTATTATTTCCCCAGGAAAAAAAAACAAAGTAGGAAAAACGAAGCAAGACCCAGGATACTTCCAGGCATAGAAAAAAATCAAATGGAAGCCACAGACGGATCTACACAACAGCACACACAGCTCAGCCAGTTACTGGGAAAGCCCAAAACAAGGTATGTACCCAGGTAAAACAGCTGCTGCAGCAATACCCTGGGGTGACTCAGAAGTGTCATCCAACAGAAAATAACTGGGTTTAAAGTCCTCTTCTATAAAAGCACACATGCAAAAAACATCCAAGCATTCAAACAACTATTTAAACACAGAACATCTAGCTCATTTGAAAAAAAAAATCTATTTCAGAATCATGGGAAAATTTAAAGCTTCTTTTAAATGAGAAAGATGTTTAAATGCCTATCCTTAACTCAGGAACAAGTATATCCGCCTAACTCATAGCCCTTTCTCATATAAATATGAGCTGAATACATATGGCTGTTACCCAGCAATATTTTAGGTACACTACTGGCTAAATTATCAGGCCATTTTAAATTCAAGAATCTCAAGTTATGTGTCTTCTGTTCTATTTCACCTTGTAAATCACCCACGAAATTGGGTTGATTTTTCCAAGCAGGAAGATCCAGTCAAAATCTCATCACTAGGGTAATTCTTCTAATGAAAATCTTAAGAGGCGGCTATTTAACATTATTGCTTATGCTGTCACTTTTAGCTTGGAAATGCAGCAAGCCACTGATACATTTCAAAACATGAATGTGGTATGTAACAAAAATGTCACGAGTTTTGTACATAATCCCACCAAATCCAAGAAACAGATTCACTGGGAAAGTTTTAACCCACTTCCAAGACAGGTGCTGGCTATGTTAGCTGAGATACAGCAGAACAGATCTCAAATTCTGAGAGAGAAAAGTTTGCTGTGCTCTGCCAGTCTGGACAGCACATGTTGTGCGCCCGGAGTCCCCGCACTGTTGACATGTGCCACCTGAGACACAGAAGGAAGTTCCACCATGAACCGTCTATAACGGATTTATCCAGCTGATGAGAGATAGCTGGCTCACAAAGTGCACAGTCTACATGCAGGTTGACAAGGAAAGGCAAACTGCTTTCAGACAGTGAGGCACAAACATGTTGCCAGTATGACACTTCGCCACGTGTGTCTGTATCCACGCATCCTCGTAATCACTGATCCAAGAGGAACGACTCGCCGCCTTCAATACATTCATGTGGCAGTATAATAATCCAAAAAGGTTCTGTCCTCTTTACAGGGCTCAGAGGCGTATGGGGAACACAACTGAAGAGGTGAACTCCAGCCTCGCCCCAGAAATGACCCAGG